TGCTGACCCATGACAACAACTATTCTACTCGATTATTCATTTCTGGTGTTTATTACCAGCTTATAATTTTATTCTAAAAGATACAAGTACATCTGCCGGAAAGGAATAGTTCGATCTTCTATAGCGATAACTTCGCTATTATATGAGCTTGGACTCTATGACTTTCTTACGTATTATATAATAGTGAAGTCTGTAATGTTTTAGTGGCCGGTTCGTCACCAAATATCGAAAATACAGCAATTGTATAGTGAATTTCTGACGATACCTGTCCATTGTAAGATCTTCTAATAGAGACAGTCATGATTAGAACTCGATCTGACTTTTGAGCTCTCGTCTAAATTATATGTCTAACTAATTCACTTGCCTTACTGGAAAATAAATTAATTTCACAATCTATAACCTTATTGTAGTGCAATTAAATCTACTTTGGAAGGACTAACCGCGCTATATTAACAGTTGACAGTAAGCAGGATGTTTCTGATTTTGTCTTGTTTATAACAATAGTATGAGTTGATTCAGATTCTGTTTATACTAGAATACAAGTTAAAGGAGAAAGTATGTTTAAAATTTCTCGAGATCGGTGAGATTGCGTTCAATATATTGTTAATTAAATTTTTGGGTAATTTCTTTAAACTAATTTACGTATATTATGTCTCCGATGAGAAGTACTACTTATACAGTACCAGGTATTTAGAATTAAAATGATATAACTAAAAATAGCTGGGGAAGTGCTTCTTTTTTAAGGAAAGCAATGTTTGATACAGCTCATAGGCGTAACTTCCTACGTTGATCTCCAACCGTCACTGCGAATTTTTAGTAATTAAAATTAATGAGAGATATTGGACTATCTTAGGTTGCCAGGGTTAATATGATGAAGTTATTAATGAACTAGATATTCACATTTCGTTCAATTTTGACTTATAAATCAGTTTAAATCGAGATTATATGGGAATTATGGGTAAAAATAATTATGCACATGAAATAATGTTTATGCTGAGTAATCAGCTGAACTCCTATAATTGGTAGTTAATTCATCGCTTTTGGCTGAAAGGTATACAATGATTATTATTATACTCTTAGATTAATAGAAGAAAACTCAGGTTTACCTCTTGTGATGTGTGTTTTACTGTGTTTATAGAAAAGAGCATTTTTGAAGCAATAAATATTTTGTGAAATCAGGTATCAAATAGTGTCTTACATTTATGAATAGTAGCCTATTACTTCAGTTACATTTTCAATTTTTAATTAAATATAAAGGGTATCTTTAGCAACCATTGAGAAAAGAAAATTAGATTAATTCGATATGTCATACTAGTTAATGTGCTAGTGATGTGTTCTCCATTACTTCCGGTATAAATAGTTCTTTACATTTCTTAAAATTAGTAATAATTCTTATTAGACGAAAAAGCATAGAATCTGACTGTCATTGGCTAATAAATTTCTTTTAGAGATAGTTTTTTCTAGGTAAAGTATTTATCTCTTGTTCAAATTACCTGGAAACGTGTCAAACAAACATAAACTATATCATAGACTTGCCTACCTTTCTATTATTTTTATTAATGTCATATATTAATTCCCTTGATGATGTTTACAGAGTATATAGATCTATCGGTTAAAATCTGATTTAGGCTATTTATTTGTAAGGTAAGACAGATCTGATGTATGGTAAAAAGTCATTGATAAATAATTACGTCCTTGTTACTGAAAGTAGCAGCAGTAATAAAATTTTCAGATAGAGTATACCGTTATAAAGTACAGAGTATGTCATTATGTGTCAATCTAGATTTATACCAACAGAACCTTCAGTATTTAATAAAGTAATATCTCGATAGCGTATTTACGGTAGATGACCTTAAAATCTGCATCGGGTCATAATTTGAAAAAGTGATACTTTTAAGATTTTCTGTAATCATTACTGTGTTAACTCGATACTGTTGACTATATTTATAAGATATTTCTTTAGCAATCACAACGAAGAGAAATTTCAATCTTACGGTCTAGCTATTAATTTTATTTTTATTATTAGCTAATCCTGGTTGAGTTGCTAATCTCATAAATAAGGCAACCACAGTATTCAGCTTGAATGAAGGATAGAGCGATGAGCAGCCACACCTATAAGTACGAGATCATACAGTACTGTGCGAGTATTTGCATTTCTAAAAACTGGCATACTTGTATTTTTCCTTTAGTAGTCTCTACTTACATCTTACAGTTAATGACCTCGATCGAAATTATTTAATACAGCGTAATAAATTAATGATCTTTTCATTTCTTCAAAACCCTTTGTAGATCCATAATATTTGCTATTATATAAAAAAGCTTGTTAAAAAATTATCTTTATGCTATATACTAATATTAAGTTACCGCAAAGCCAACAAGGTTTACAATATATTCAACTGACAGGATTGTTAAAATCAAATTAAACTTTATTACAGTAAAACCCAAAGTATAACAGTATCTATAACAAGCTATTAGCAAAAAGATCTCTACTTGCCCGATGTATTCACTTGTAATCCTTTTTTTGGCCTATTAAATAACAGTAGCAGTATTACTATTACACCCAATGTATATGGTTACGCTTTCACGCGTTAAGCCCAAGAATTAGAATACTATATTCTACTGGGGCGCGGACAAGTAATCATATAAAACTACGCAAGCATCGCATTCTACGGTAGTACATATTAATGACTGGAATACTTTATCCTGTAGAAGCACGGGAAAATAATCGTATTAAACTACTTAAGTTTTGCATTCTACTGTACTGGGGGCACAGACAAGTAATCGTATTAAACTGCATAACCACTGCATTCTACCGTAGCATATTAGTAATTGGAATGCTATATCCTTCTAGGGTACGGGCAAATAATCACATTAAATGACGTGACCATAGCTTTCTATTATAGCGCATATAACACTATATCCTACCGGAGTACGGACAGGTTATCATATTAAACTACGTAAGTATTACATTCCACTGTCGCGCATATTAGTAATTAGAATATTCTATCATGCCCAGTCACGGGCAAATAATTATATTGAACAACGTAATCATTGTATTCTGCTATAGCGTATATTAGTAATTCCGATACTAAGCAAGAATGTATGCTCAATGATAAGCTCATGGCACTGCTTCAATGCATAGATTGAAGCCAGAATTCACTACTATTTTATCGTATTATTTAGTCGAATATTAACTATCGGTACGCGCTGTAAATATTTATAAGTATAAAAATTGTTCCACGAAATGAAGAATTTGCTGGAGGACTATGATTGCCACTGCTGTATACTATTTATTTTTAATAAATATGACAATTTATTGCTACTAAAGCTAAATATAATTTAAAGCTTACAGAATTATACTTACTTCAACAAGATAAAGCAGTACTAGTCAGTTAAAGCAATGTCTTTAACGAATAATTTTGATGCCATTACTGATAAACATCTTTGCGGATGTTTCCATTTATGACACACAACTCAATTAAGTTATCAATTTAGAAGTGCTTTTGTCTGCACGGCATAGATGAATTTCTAGACTTCATTATTTTGAGATATACCTCTACCAAAGTATTATTTTATACAAGTTTAGAAGATTTCTCTATTGTTAAAGAAACAACGCTTAGTTATTTCAGTGAATGATATCATTTAATTTTTGATTTAAGCCTTAGCATAATGCTATTGATTCTTTTGGCATCTTTTTACATCATGTGGAGGCATTTTACCGTGTTTTGATATCAACAACGATCAATATTAGATTAAATTTATTTGCTTGATCTTACTATTTATGGAAATTTCATAGAATGGGTTTTAGCATTAGAATTCTTGTTTATCAGCAACAAGATAAGGAGATATGTAAACAAGATAAATTATTGACAAAAACATCATTATATCCTATGATAACTGATATGGATATGAAAAATAAGATAAATGTAATTATTCGTGATCGGCTTAAGCCTTAACAATACAAATAGATCAATAGGGCTTCGATAGTTATTTTGTTAATAAATTCCTAGAATGTATATATTGCCCAATATAATAGTTCATCAGTTATAGCGTCTGATCTCAATTAAATATTGTGTATCGATTAATAAGGTCCTCTTACATGCAACGGACCTTGCTTTTTCGGTCATATCAATACGCAATCATCTAAACAGAAATGCTTTGTACTTCTAGGGTCAAAATAATAAATTACAAGTATGAACTTTGTAATTGATTATTAGAAGTATAATTGAACAATATCAAAGAGTTAAATCAGTTGATTTATATCGTATTTAAAAATATTATTGTAAATATATCGCGTAATGTTTCATAGCAATGATTTTTCGGATATTTCACAGTATCGATCGCAAAGTTTCGCATTAGATGTTTAACCTGCTAGGATCCACTGCTGCATAAATTACAAGTTCATTGACCGGTATTCAACCAATTGCTAAGAAACTGCTCGATATTACCGGTTACTAGACCTCGAAAATTATGAACATGAAGCAACAATTATATATTGCTAAACACTTTACTTTCTAGGTGCCACCATATTTTATTTTGTCACTGTAACTACTGGCATAGATACAAAAACCTGAAATATGTTGAAATTTACGAGACTTATTAATAATTTTATTAATACTCGTATAATTGAAATTTTAGATGCCACATTATTGCATCAGTTCTTAGTTTACTTAATCATCTTAGAGCGATATTGGGGGTCATATACCGCACATGCTTATTGATTACAGTCAAAAATCGAGTAAGATATTCGAATAAATTAGTCATGCAATATCTATTGGATCTAAAGCATTATATGATATTTGTGACATTAAATACTTACAGAATTAAAATTTGACATCATTGAATATAGTAGGTAACAGGTAACATAGTAGTTAATATAGTGAGTGGCATAACCAGGTGATTGGATGAGTAATAAGTGATTATTATTTGAATTTAATATATCGATACTTCTTGTTGTGGAATAATAAAAATTGGTAATAACGTTGTGATTGTTCTGATTCTCAGCCGAGAGTATAACTATCGGAAGTCAGTTTACTATCATTATCTTCAGTTACTCTAGGTTCTATAATTTCTATTTGATAGCTAACATCTTTCCAATTAAAGTAGCTATAAGAATTGTCGAAAACCAGCGCATCTATAATGATTTTAAATTAAAATAAATATATATTTATAAGTTAATAGCGAAAGCATATCTCGTAGTATTGCATGATAGTTTTAGTGATTATATATATGCTTTCAAAGTTAACTAATTGTTAAGACTTACAAATGCCGACGTCTTCACAATATAAGCTACCTCTTTCTGGTATAACTCGGCAAGAATGTCGTTCAACAGGAATCTATACGATAAATAAATGGTATAAATAAGGCTTAAGACTGTACAAAATAGAGAAAGGTAGATTATGCAATTTTTAATATTATCAAATACAGATTTCATGTAACAACTAATAAAACCTTATTTTTCGAGAATTAATCGTCATATGATCGTGATTTTTATTATTATATAAAACTGGTTAGCGTTACACAAATTTCTTTTCTTGAGATTGAAATGATGAATATATTATCTAGGATATTGTGATAGTGTTATATTAGGATAATTCTGTTAGCCTATCCTTATTTAATTAACTTCTAATTTGGATATGGTGTGTTTTAATATAGCATTGACTTTTTATGACACCCTACTGTAGTTCCCCTGTCCCGGTTATTTTTGATTGCTATATATAATATAACAAAAAGTGTTTCTAAGAGGATAATGTCAGTTAGTCAGCGATCTGATAGGCGAAAGCGAAGTGAACAATGTGAAAATGCACGATCAGTACGTACATTAAATCAATCTCCTTTAAATATAGTAGTACCCGGCTATTACTGGGATATATAAAACCTCGAATGGTAATACTATCTGTTAATTATGAACAAATGGGAACATTATCGTATCCCGTCAGCAGAGCGTCGGGAGTTTGGACTAGTAGTTATAATAGGGAATGCAAATCATCTACTTACAGTTCGAATCATTGTGATTGTAACTTACTTATGGTAGATTGTAAATTATCGTGGAAATGTTCCGTGATAGGACATATCGTAATCTGACTATTCTGTATTAGTCATCAGATATCTATGTTCGTAAATACTGTTGTCTGCATTAAGGGAGCAGTAGCTATAATTAATATCTAATTCAGTAAATGATTCCAAAGTTAATCGTACTAACTATGACTCATGAACTATTGAGGAAGAGTATATAAATGCAGTATATCGTGTAATAAAGAGGATTCTCAAACTTAGTGTTTAACGTAAAATACGAGGCGTTTAAGTCTTTGTGTAGTCTGCTAGTAGAGCAAAAGTGTTTCTGATAGTGCAGATATCGTTCCTTGATACGTAGTTCAAGGAATTGACTTATTGATCGTACATTACGCTATCTTGTTGCAAAGCTGTTTTGCGACAGATAGATTACTAAAGTTGTCCTAATTCAACAATAAGCAGTCTTTCTTACGAGGTTTTTCATATTTTGCAGGGTGTTAATTTTCAGATTTTTCTTAAAATATACACCAAAGCCTATGTCGTGCTTTTTACATCGAAATTTCCACCTGCAGGGGAATAATATGACCATTAAATTTAAAAATTTAATATTATTCTTGGACATTGTAGTATAAAAGCTACCAAATTATTAAAATTTTAAGCCACTGCTCTCTAGTAAGACTGGTATCATATGAGAATCGATTGAAAATGAATATATCGATGGTTAATTCTAATAGAGTAGCGTAGCTTACCGAAAGATGCTACCTTTGACATCAACAGGATATTCAGCTTTAAATGAGAGCCCAGCTGAAATAACTACATTTTGCCAATTTAAATCGTCTTGTAAACTGGCATTTTGATTAATATAGTAAGAGTGTGGTACCTCTCCGCCGTAACAAATCTAACGTTGGTAAAAAACACATTGTTAATAGTAATTAATAAATTACCAAAGCTTATAAAGACTTAGTTTTATTTCGTGTAGGAATGCAAAAACTATTCATAAGTTTAATATCCTAAGCTTGAAGAATTGAAATATTTCACTTGTTTTAATTGACACCTATTGAGTAAATATATAGTATTGCTAAAATAAAATATTCGTACCCACTCGGAGCATTTCTCATCACTGTCTGAATCTTTTAAATTTCCACCATAATATTTTGGTAATGTATTTGGATTAATAACTTTGAGCAAGGTTTCTTTGTAATCGGCTAGTAATTATTATTATATTAAAGTAGACAGAGTAATAATCAGTTGAGATAATCAAAAATGTAGTTATAAAGCAATTTTACTTGATGTTAAGTATTTATGCTAGTTATGATATATACTTTTAAGGTAAATGTTAAATTTATTAGCTATATATTAGGATGCTGATTAAAATCAAAAGGTTTTTATCCCTTGCGTTAAAATTCTTATATGCATTTGTAAAACTTACATCCTAGTAATTTAACTTTGGCGGTATCTCGTCCTAAGAATGATTTACATAAGTTATAGATGACCGGAAATATTGGAGGACTTCTGATGAGATAGATTACTTTCAGGCTAGATGGATAGTTATTGGCTATCAAACTAAGCATCTGTAGAAAAAAATGTCAAAATATTAGGATAACACTGTGGAAATGTTGTTTTAGTGATAGAAAATAGTTTCAGACTGTAACATTAGAGTGATTAACTAACTTAAGTAAAATAGCTGTTGACGTTAATATAGGAGATCCTATATTAGTAGAGATATCTTATCTATTATGATGATTATAATAGTGTTGGCAACTGAAAGTATATGAACAATGTAATCAGTTATTATCTATGCCGTATTTGGAAAGATAGACGATAATATAAGAAACGATGGTGTTAGCAGAAGTTCCTATTGTATTAATTAGGAAGCTATAGTAACTTGTAAAATGGCAGATGATGTTTGCCAGTTGCATATAAAGCGAGGTCTTCTGTTAATAGTTAGTTATTATCCAGCGTTCACATTAGACTCCCAATAAATTGTAATAAAGCTATTACTATCCATTGACGTCTTCTTTGAATTTGAATTTTATTACACAGACATTACGCTATTTATTAAATAGATTAAGGTACTTAATTTGTAATACCTCATTAAATACGGTGATACCTAAAAATCAATACATCAGATAAAAAGTATTAGTTCTAATGTATCCTCCACAAGATGTTTATTTAGCAAAATTTACCCTTTGAAGTATAGGAAGTCATTTCAAATACATTATCAATTCAATTATTACCTGGACCCCATAAGAAACTTCGATTAAGTCCTTTTAGATCGACAATTAGCGTATATCCTTCAATAGATCTCCCCGCCTAATTTTTAAGATTGAAAGACATTTAAAGGAAAGAATAAGATTATTTCAATGAATAATATCAAAATTATAGATTAATCCGGTACTATAAGATACAGTTATATTGACTACTTATTATAAATTTTTAATTTTATCGCGAGGATTTGAAATTTTTCCGAAATAAGGTACAGATAATTTATGCCAAGAAATTGTAATCGTTTTCTATTTGTCAATATCTTTAACTAATATAAGTACAGCTGATTTATAGAGCTTTTAGTTATGAAATTAAACAATTACTTTCTTAGGGATTAGATATCAATATTAAGACTCTACTTTATTTTACGTATGCAGAATTTATAATGACTTATATTATCAACAAACAATGTAAATGCTGTAATAATTAGAGTGTTGAGGATGTTTATAACTTTTCAAGGTTCTGGTTAGTATAATTTCTCGAAAATTGATGATTTGAATAGATGTAGGTTACTGCTGGTAAGAATTAAGACTCCAATACTTACCTTTGAACTTAGCTTTTTACATTTATTAATGTTTTCTTCAGCAACTTTTACGTGAAAGCGTAATAAATCGCTAAATGTACACGAATGCATAATTCCTCGAAAATCAATGTTCCCAAGTGGTTCTAATCTAACTGGATGACCATCTCTGTCAACTCCAGGTAGCCATCCTCCAGGAAAGTACTTTTGTAACACCTAGAGTCCAAAGACAGAACATATATCTAATTAAACATTTTAATTATCAGTCCTGATACTCAATTATAGTCTGCGTAGTGTCGAATCTATCTTACCAGCGGAGGTATCCAATGAAGAATTGAATCATCTAGACGCCAAATTTGCTTAAATTCTACATTCTACGAATTTTTCAAAGATTTTAATTTTAGTTTGTAAAGGCATATTGTAATTTAATAACTAAAAAGGTGAACTAATTCCTGTTTAAATAGGATCAACTAACCCTGCGAAACATTTCTTCAGCTTGTATTAAATCAAAATCGTAACCTAATATAAATGGATTAACAATTAGTCGTTATTAGAAGTCCATCTTGACGAGATCCAATATTCAGGAAAGTAAGTAAAGCTATTAATATAAGCTACTAAAACGAACATTTCAGCCATTTCATACAAGTTTCATTATCGTAATTATCTTGCAGCATTAAATCATTGATTCTTTCCTTGAACTAGAGATGGAATAGTGAATGTTAGAAAGGAATTAGTTGTTTATGGACGGAAGGTACCGCAGTTCATCATTTGATTTTGGATGAAAGATGAATTTAAAACACTCATTAATTGTATCAGTGATTGCATTTCTATTCCATCCATTAACCTCATCTAGAATTAAATTCAATGGCGGATGTTTACTCTTCATAGCGCTGATGATGGCACTATCATCGCTTATATAGTAGTTTTGCGGAACTTGGTTTCCATAGGTTATCTATGAGCAGGATAAAGTATAATTATTATCTTACGCGTAAAAGTACTTAAATTTTAGCTATACAATAATTTAATCATAATTAATTTACAATTTCTACCGTAAAAGTTGATTATAGAATTATTCTATAGGGGCTTTGTAAGTTCTTAATAATAAGAATAAGATTTGGGTTCACAATCATATTTGATCATGGAATTGTTTCATAAAATACTTCTGGTAAGAGTAAAATAAAAGACTGCAATCATATTTAATCGTGCAGTATTTTTTCTGCTTTCATCTCAAAGTTACACGCTAGCATCGAGTTAAAAAATCCTAAAAGTTAGTTATGAAATTGAGATATGTTCGCTGTATCAGCCGCTTCTATTGAGTATAAAATTATAGTTCTATTTAGTGGAATAGCGTATCCTTTCAGTTTTTATCAAAAACTATTCGTTCAATATGAAGTTTGCTGTGAGTCCTGAAATCGGTTAAAAAATTGTAGCATATTGAATATACAAGACACTTTAAATAAAAGTGTGAAATGATAAATGATTTTTGATCGCATAATATGATACTGCAGCTTTCCATTCTGAAATAAAAGTGCTTGTTCATATATCAAGCTAGAAATAAATCGCTGTTATAAAATGCGGAGTAGAACATTACTTAAATCATTTGCTAGTGCATTTGAAAAGTAATAAACCAATTGATATATATTTTGGTGATTAATTTGCTATCTTTACTAAATAGTTTGTCCCAATTATGCTTGTCTAGAATGTTGTAGATGATCACTGGCACAGCATGATTAAAGCGCAATTTGTTAATAGCTTAATAGATTCCTTGCACAAGGTAAAATTATAACTTCTTGCAATCTAATAGCGACTTGACTAGAAGATGGCTAAAAGGCGCTTGTAAGGATAGGAGTTATCTTACAGAAGCGAGTTCTACCTTGTCAAATTGCCTATATAAAGCTAATTTACTACTACTATCTAATGTAATTATGACTAAGACAGAAGGTTGCTAATATTATTTGAAAAGGTTGATGAATAGGAAAGTCCATAGATTCGAATAGTAAATAGTTAAGATACAGTAAAGTATGAAAGAAATCTTCTTGAATTCTAGAATTCATACCCATTGACGGCAGTGTTCGTCGCCATCAGCATCTACCAAGCTACCACCGTAGCATGCTGGTATATTTTCGACAGGAATATATTTTCGCAATTCTTCTCTGTAATCGTCTATTAATAGAGTAACAATGCCATATTATAATCACAAAATTTGTCTATTTTATGACTAATTTCACGCTATGCTTACCTTTTAAAATAATAATTTTATCAGCACTACTATGTAGAAACGGCTTGACAATGCTGAATATTTGCGAAAAGAACATGGGAGGGTTGATAATGAAAATATTATTAAAAAGTGCAGGATAATTTTGTTCTTGCACGCTGATCATTTCGGTATATATATTAATGCCTAAGATTAGAAAATTCATGTTGAATATTTGTTTGTAAGACATAATTAGGAATTCAATAAAGAATTAGGGTAGGTTGTTAGATGTAATAGAGATAGATAATCTAGAAAAATTGTTTCTTACCCGGCTTCCACAGAAAATCCAAGCCTAGACCTTCCAAATCGATAATAAGTGTAAAGGAATGTATATACTTTCTCAGCTATAATGTCCGAAATTAATATTGAAGGATTAGTATTATTTTACTGTTCATTAAGTATTATCTAAATTTGGAATTTGATATTGTTATGTTAAGCAAAACGATAAAAATTAAGCACAATATATCTAAATTTGAAATTGATCTTCCTATTCTGGGTTAAGTTTTAAAAATTGAGCACTTCATATCTAAATTCCGAATCGAGGTTTTACATTTCAAGCAAAATGATCAAAATTAAGCACCGTGTATTTCAATTCGAAATTGATATTTTGTATTTTAAGCTAACTTGAGTCCCAGAGTTCTAAACTCGAAATTGATATTTCTATTCTGGATAAAGTTTTAAAAATTAAACATTTTACACCTAAATTACGAATTGATATTTTATATTTTAAATAAAATGATCAAAATTAAGCATAGTATATTTCAATTTTAAACTGACATTTTGTATTGCAAGCTAACTATTAAAAAGCAAGTATATAGTATCTGAGCTTGAAATTAATATTGCTATTTCAAGCAATAATGTAAAAATAAAGCATAGTATTTAAAATTAGTATATTGAGCACAGAGAGAATGTATAGTTCTTATGAATCTCTTGCCTTATCGCCAAACTCGCGACACAATAATAAACCTTTTTCAGAAATAGCAGCATGGAACTTGATTAATTCACTGTATTGGCACGATTTTATAATTCCGGGCATGTCAACTTTTCCCATTGGCTCGATTCGTATCGGATGGCCATCTTTATCACATCCTGGAAGCCAACCGCCTGGAAAATAATTTCTTAGCACCTAACCAGTATTCAAGAGATGAAGGAAATAAAAGGTTAAATTTAATCATGATTAACTTGTAATATTTTGTAAAGATTATAGAACAATGAATGACATTAGTTAAATTTTGAGTATTATGACGGTTTACAGCCCTTTATACTGGATAGAGCAGAGAGAAAGATGCTATGGCATTTAAATTTCCATGCTGTCTAAGATCTCACCTCTGGTGGGTTCCATTGACTAAGATTATCGCCTAAACGCCATAGACGACGAAATCGAAGGCTCTAAATTATTCGAAACAAAATCAGCCTTATTTTGAAAAACAGTGGCTTTTCCCTCACTGATGCAGAGTAATATTACCGTGTTGGTACAATATTTTATTTTACTCGCATATAATTGATTTAATCGATATAAAATTTTGACTAATGACATACTAAGAAGATAAATAGTGCGCATGTCGAATTAGAACTGCCTCTATAGCCAGTTTCAATCCGACCTATTCTATGCTTAGTTCTAAATTATTGCTAAAGCTATTTTAATCCATTCTTTTAGTGCATGCTGGATATAAAAGTGATTTATAATTAGACTTTTGTAGGAAAATTAAGTTCTGGTGTGGCAAATTTTACGATAGATAGTATTCAATCTTTGTTGAAGCAAATTTTATAAGCAAGTAAAAACAGTGACATTGAAAGCTAAAATTACCTCTCTAAGCATTTCCGTTGCCTTAGATAAATCGAAATTATTAGCTTGAATTAAGCACCACAGGGAAAATGAATGAAAGTAAAGATTAATCAAGATTAGTCAGAGAAAATGATTAGAGAAGATATTCAGGTAATTATAATGAGCAAGCAATGATAAATCAAATTTAATATAACCTTATCAAGCAATTATCTAACTGATGGGATATGAATGAGTTAGACTAGTTAAGTTCAATATGGCTATTATAACTTATTTTTGAGTTTATTAGCGTCTATCATAGGTTATAATAACATTTTATAGCAAATGCACTAGTATATTTCCTCGCTCGTGATACTACATATACCGGTTTACTGAGTAGGATATTTCAGTCTACAATATGATGTGCAGCTCATACTGCATTAATTAAATTATTTACTAGTATTCTAACTTATTTTTGAGTCTATTTGCGTCGATGATAGGCTATACTAACATTCTATAGCAAGCAGAGATATACATGTAAGATATGAGATGAAATGGTATGCAAAGTCTAGATATAGTAAAGATACTTATAGAGCGGAATGAATGATACTAGAGTCATGTCAGCGTAAATTGCAAGTAGACTTAAATAAGCTCAAGAATGAATTAGATTAGTTAAGCTCCACATAGCTATTCTAACTTTTTTCTGAGTCTATTAACGTCTGTTACAGCTTATGCTACCATTCTGTAGCAAAAAAATATTTATGGAAGGAAATAAATGATGGTAGAGTCATATTAGCGTAAATTGCAAATAGTCTCAAATAGAATCAAGAATGAATTAGACTAATTAAGCTCAATGTGGCTATTCTAACTTGTTTCTGAGTCTATTTGCAACTATTATAACTTATGCTAACATTCCTCTAGCACCATTTACGGGTATCCTACTATACTGTCCCTTTTATCGCCCCATATTTAACTATGAAAATTAAGCTCAACAGGTCTAATTCATAACATTCTACCCACCATTCGATAAAAATGCGAATATAGATGTTACTGATGAGAAAGTAATTCAAAATAAAAAGTGGATTATGCATTTAAGACTGCTATAACGTCTCTAACCTTGGCTAGCATGATTGATCTAGTGTTGCGATAGCGTACATAACGCTCATAACACAAATACGGCAAGGATATTTACAAAGTGAAATTAATGATGCTGGAGTTAATGATTTAAAATGTACTTTTAGAGCCCTAAGAATAAATTCATTGAGTCTGATTTGGTAGTGTATAATGCAAGATACATTCATTTACTCTAGACTAGGCAACATATTATTTTGATTTATCGTGAGCAACAATCGGATATTTGGCCATGAGTCTCGATAGATACTTATACCTGTTATATGCAATCATAGGTATAAATGAAGATATCAATTTAGATATAAATCTGATTCAATAGGCTATAATTTTTTAAATAACCCCATGTGCTAAGCTAACGGGTTTCGTTAATGAATTTAATTGATTTGCCCAAAAAACAGCCATTAGCATCAGCGGTTAAGTCAATATCACTATTGATCCTTCATTGTTGGGAAGAATGATTTAATTAGATGTACATCAAGGTAATTTTCTGTTATAGCAAACCTATATGTAAAATTTAAATTACAATCCTAATGATATTCTATAATCAGTTTAGGGAAAGCCCCATTTGAAGCATTCATTCAAAGACATGCAAATGAGGGAAATTAACTCATTATATCAATGTTATGTCAGTGTTTATTTAGAAAAATAGACTGCAGTATTTACATAAGCATCACTAATACAACTAAAATGGAGTTTCTAACGATCTACTGAAGGCATTGATTTCTCACATGGAGGAGTTCGATGTCTACATATTAATAGTTTGAACCGTAGATCATCACAACCGCATGCTGAAAGAAATCATATTAACTTGAAGCACAAAAAATCTCATGAACCTTTGAAGTACTTCATGGCCGATAATTTGGGATTATTTCTTGAAAGATGCAACCGCCCATCTATGGATTGCTTCTATGTACAGTAGTATCGAATTCTGAATGTATATCGATCTACAGTTCACGATTTTACCGAATAATGATGAGAAAAAAGTAATCTGATATCAACAATGATCTATGAGAAACTATTGATGATAAGTGGAATAATCTTGCATGGATATCCATGTAGTAAAGTAGTATTTCATATTTTCTGAGCTTACTATTAGTTTACAAATATCATCCAGAGGGTAATGGCTTTACTGAATTAATCCATCGCAAAAGTGAGCATTAGCCTACTTGTAGGCAAGATCATATTTTCCTAATAGAACATTAGCATACTTTTGAACAGTTGATCATCTATGTTTTCTTAACTCAAGGATTCGCTAATAATTTTAGAATAGATTCAATGATGTGCTAGAATAAGCTAGAAGAAGGTATTGCCCTTGGGTGATAAAATACTGTTGAATTAGTTTTACCAGAGAAGGAATAAACTGGTAATTCAGTATGCAAGTTTAGGATTAATAGATTGACATTTTCATTAAACTGAGATACACTCAATATAGCATCTATATTTTATACGGAAGTCAGTAATGCACTAGAGGTTTACGATAATAATCATCTCTTGATTTTAGATGGAACTCAAATAAAATTGATGTTGCTAAATTATAAAGCTTGATCGATTTAAGCTATTTAGCCTAGAAAATTTTTACGTGCAGTTGTTATGGATTGCTCGTTTGATGGCTTTTCTGTTTGTCAAGGCCTGGCTATAATCAATTTACTTCATAGGAATGATGCAAGGTATTGCTAATTACCCCTCGTTATCCAATAAGAAATTTGTAATGGGATAAATTTGGCATTCAAATGTATCTTTAAGGACTCTATCCATTGCATTTCTATCCACTTGTTGAAGAAGTAGAGGGCGCAAGTGAGTAGGATAGTAATAGAGTAAAAGTGCAAATCTCCGTAAAAAGAAGTACAATATCAATGCCATCGGCATCCTTTTGCTATTTACGACATCGATGATATGATGATTATCCAAATGGCTCTTTCATTTACTTTATAAGGAATAGTTTTATCCTTAGCTATAAAAGTTTAGCTTACCTTGTAAAAATCGCAGTAGAAAGTGCAAGTCTTGTTCTGGCTTATCCAGTAGTGATTTAACATTGTCGCGGAACTATTACAGACAACAAAATAAATTAAACAACAACAATTAGATTGAATGTTGAACTTTCTTGCTTAATCAAAAAGGGATATCGTATAATCCTAGTTCAAAAGACAGGTATAAATCAGTGATGGTAACCCCTGTTATAATATCCTAATGGTCTTGATTCGGGCTAATGGTAATCTTAAGCCTTTCGGACATTATCACAGAGGATAAAGAAAGCTCTAAAGAGCTTTTGATCAAGTTTATCCACTTGCTCGATATGTTATTTTATGTGCCTACTCTACTAGACTTTCTTCATTCTTAAATTAAAAGTTATTTAAAAGTCAAAATAGGTCGATAAATTCGTTAGCCAAGAGAGAGTATTGGTGTCTACAGAAGGGGAACCATTTTGATAATCATGTCAAATAAATTATATAGATCATATCACAGCAATAGCCGATTGCCGCGATGGATCATTTTATGCTGTCCTTTTCAGTTCTTCTTAGAGTAAAATGATGAAGCACTCATCGAATAGGCTGACATTGTAAAGAAAGAAGGAAAACATGTGGTGATGTTGGGAGCTACAATAAACACGAGTGCATTTACTTCCATTATCGAGGAAAGATAGAGAGGCTACATGAAGCCAATTCTCAAATTATTACGGTTGGGATAGTTTAGAAAGGCTATCCTAACCTAATGTAGGTAGAAAGATACGAATAGATAGAGTAGTAATGATAGGAAATTTTCGATCTTACTAATACACAAATTTTAATCAGTATTCTATGATCTTAATCCACAGAAAAAAGGTTATTATTTATAGGAGATAGCATACCAAGCAAGGAAGAGACTAAATAACAGAAAATAGTAGTTTTGACCATGTTGACATACCAAGAGGAAATAGTTCATTTTTATCCCTACTAATAATTATTATTAATAAAGTAATAGTTACAGAAAGTATTGCGTCAAGCAAAGAAGAAACTAAATCACAGAGAATAGTATTTGGACTGCGTTGACGAGCTAAGAAGGAAGAAATTAATGACAGAGAATAGCGTTTTGACTACCTTGGCAAGCCTAAAAGAGATAGTTCACTTTTACCCCTATTGACGAACAAATTAATAATTGTAGAAGGTCTTGCGCCAAGTAACGAATACACTAAAATAACAGAGAATAGTATTTAGACTACATCGACGCCGAGCAGGGAAGAAAGTAGATATCACAGAATGTATTTTGACCGCCTTGACCAGCCAGGAAGGCGTAGTTCATTTTTATCCCAATTTATCATTAAAATAATAATCATCGAAGGCATTGCGCCAAACAAGGAAGACTATATACACAGAGAATCGTATTTTGACTGGATTTGCACCAAGCAAGAAAGAGACTAACTTCAGAGAGTCGCATTAGGGCTGGATTAATGCTAAGTAAGGAAGAGATTAATAAAAGAAAATCATGTTTCGACTGCATTGATGAGGACAGAAGGCATCGTTCATTTTGTCCCTACTTATTAAATAGACTCGAAATATCTTGAAAGTTCAATACAGAAATAGACATTAGAATTATTGATAGATATTTACGGACTAGTTTCTCTAGTTGCGTTGACTCATTAGCAACATAACCTCCTGAATTGGTATAGTGATTTTCTTGAAAGGTGGCAATAATTACACTTAACAAAAAGAATGACTACACTCGTTCATTTCTAATACTAAATATTGATTGTGCCATCAAGCAAATTTTCTTTCGTAATGCAACCTTGCTTTTTTTAAATTGAAAGGGATAGATATTGATGATAATTGATCACGAACGGTGTTGTATGAAAGAAGAAGGCAATTTTGCTGGAAATCTAGAGCCATTTTGAAAAGTTAAATCACTACAAGATTGGGCTTGATGATCACTTTTTTGCAGATATTTCTATGGATGTTATAAATAACTACACTTGCTTCTTTCTAATATCAAACAGTGCTAGTGTAATTGAACGATTTTCTCTTCGTATTAGAAGCCTTGATTTTGCAAGTAGAAAGTGATGGGCATTTATTATACGATCGCTAGTAGTGTTATACGAAGGAAGAGCGTTAATTTTGCTGGAAAAGTAGCCATTTTTAAAGGGTGAACTAATGCAAAATTGTGCTTAATGGCGACTTTTTGGGGGTGCACATGCTTGTATAGAAAGTAAAGGATTTGTCCTAACATCGATATCCATAAATCTAAATATCCAATGTCTATCAGTAACATTAGACAAGTCATCATACTAGCGAGATCTTTAACAAAAATGTCGTAGAACGATTCCTAGTTATGGCTGAATCTCGACGATCTTTGCAGTTATGGCTACCGTCATCCATTCACAATGTCAACGTGAAGTAGAAAGACTACTTACTCTGCTAACTACTATTGCATAGAAATTTGATAAAATTGATTTTATTGCTGCTTAAGATTTTTACCCTATGACGACGGCAAATAATTTAATTTTAGAATTAAATCAATAGGAAAAATAAACTTACCTCGATCAATGCTTCGTTTTGAGCAACATCCAATTTACTCAACATGATGATCGTGCTAATGGATGGACATGTATCCTTACAATAGATGAATAACGTTGAATAAAGATGGGATTAACTATGTTACTAGGACTAACAGCAGTGGGAGAAAAAAATGTAGTAATAGAGTAGTCAGTAAACGCTTTCGAACTTATTTGGCCAATAATATAAATATCAACTGAATCAAGGCAATGTTGTAAGCTAGCTAGGAAAATGATAATATGGAGTTCATTTTATACTGTATAACTAATCGATGTTTAAAATATTTATTAAGCCAGTATAACCAAGTAGCCGATGGGAAAATTTATCGCTAATTCATAATTAAATACAGTCATCATTTGCTAACAATATACAGTTGCAACATCTTCTCGTCATATATTTGTGTAAACACGTTAATTCAATGAGTAAGATCCGCCTGGTCGACTTGGTGCCCTCTAGAATAATGAATATTATTAC